GTAGTAGTAGTAGTAGTAGTAGTAGTGTAGTAGTAGGAGGAGTAGTAGTAGTAGTAGTAGTAGTCGTAGCAGTAGTAATAGTAGTAGTAGTAGTAGTAGTAGTAGTAGTAGTAGTAGTAGTAGTAGTAGTAGTAGCAGTTGGAGTGGTAGTCATCGTCGTCGCGGTGGCGGAAATAGTAACAGCCGTAGTTCTAGCGCATCAACCATAGGGCGACAACCATAGGGCACTGGACCCCATCAAAGAACAAATCATACGGTACCATACTCCGCCACCAAACATCGGGCACAAACCATAGGGCGAAGTCCTCCTTTAGCTCTCTTTTGCCCTCGTGGCTCAATTTCAGGGCCGTCTTGAGCGCTCTTGGGGCCCTCGTGGGTTCCTGGAATTTCCGAGGGCGCCGTTGGCCAATCCTAGGGACTTTGGGTGGCTTTCTTGGGGCCCATGTGGGCCGTGTTGACCTCCAGAAGCCCTCTGCACCACAACCGGGACCCGCTCGGACTGCCGAGGCCCAGCCTGGGGGCCCAGGGTGGTGCCTGCGGTGCCCCCCCCCTGCCCCCCGCGTAGGTGTCGGGCGGTGCGGTGGCCCCAACCCCCGTGCCGATGTGCGTGGGGGCCACCAGGAGAGACCCCGCGGTCGTCGTGGTGGTCGTTTGCGTCGCACGCCTGGTCGTCGTCGTCATCGTCATCGTCGTCGTCGTCGTCGTCGTCTCCTGCTGCCTTCCCCTCGTCAAGCTGGAATGGGACGGAGGGTCGTTATCGTCCTCGTCCTCGTCGTCGTCGTGCTCTTCGTCATCGTCCGTGCCCTCCTCGTCAACCCCGTCATGGTCCTCGTCCTCGTCCTCGTCGTCGTCGCCTTCGTGATCGTTGTCGTCGTGTGGTCCTGGTCTTGGTCCTGGTCCTGGTCCTCGTCTTCGTTTGTCGTCGTCGTCGTTATCGTCGTCGTCGTCGTCCTCGTCCTGGTTCTGGTCCTGGTCCCGGTCCTCGCCGACGTCGTCGTCGTCGACGCCCTCCATCCCATTGGGGCGGGGGGTCCCAAAAGCCCTGGGACCCATCCCATCTGGGGGGGCCGTGGGCCCGGAACCCATGAGCACACACACACACACACATATCTCTCCCGCCCTCGAGCCTGCTGGCCACTCATGATCGCGCCCAACTCGACAGACAGCCGTCTCAGCGCCAGCTGGAGTTCGGGGTGCGGACCGTGGACCTCGGGGATCTTGCACCGCACGGCCGGCTGGAGAGGGTCGCTGATCTGGCCCGGGAGGCTGTCACCGAGGAGGGGGGAAGCATGGGATTCGGCTACTCGCCAGGGTGACCCTAAGCAAGTTGGCAAAAATAACCTTTGGCGCGCGGCTTCACAGGACAAGCCGGTTCTGGGGGGACCACTGTGGGCCCGCAACAAAGGTCACTCTGGCGAAGGGTCACTCCGAAGCGTGGCCGAAGGATGAGAGGGAGGTTCGGGGAGGTGCGGGAAGGAAAAAGGGAAGGATGACGACGAGGAGGAGGAGGAGGAGGAGGAGGAAGAGGAGGAGACGACGTAACCATGAAGGTCTGTCCGACCACCGGCCTAGACCTCGGTCGACGCAGACGCATCGACGGAGGGAGGGTGGGCCCCAGCTGGGTGGCGCTCGGATTCCACTTCGGCCTCCCGAGGGGCGGCGAAACCCTTTGCCACTTCCGCCACCAGCAAGGCCCACAAAAAGATGGTGTTCGAGGCAGGCCAGAAGCTAAAGATAGGCCTCGCAAGCGAAGGGAAAAAATAAAAAAAGAGGTGGAAGAAAAGAGGCACATGGCACTGCGGGAGACCCATCACCGCAACATGCCGCCGCCACTGGATCATCGAAAGATCCCCCCCATCCCACGTTCCACTACAAGGCAGATCCACCACTCAAGGAATAGAATGAAAGACAGAGCAAGTGTCGATGAGAGCATCTCACCGCTCGAGTGCGAGCTCTGCCGCACCTCGGATATCGTATGCGCGCTGAAGAGACATGGGTGTCTTCTGCGCGACGCCTTTTCGCTTTGTGGTACATACTATGAAAAGCCAATGCAACTGCCTTCAGGCATTTCTCACGCGCGAGATCCGATTCCGCCCGCCCGTAGTCAGACGCCGCCCCCAGCCCCAACAATACAATCGGCGAGCCTGGAAATTAGCGCCTTCTCCACGCAGGGTGCATTGCAAGATGGTGATACACTCTCGAGCAACGCAGGTAGTGTGCAATCTCGTCAGGCTCTGCGCAGCCAAATGCAGCTCGTGGCGGCATTGCCCATGTGCAGTCTATGCGTGGTCGCCCACGCTCCGCAGAGGGTCTTGATTATACTCCATTGCCAGGCAGGCTTGAGGCTCGCGATGCAGGTCCGACAGAGATCCCACCGACCGACCACCGACCTCCGCCCCCCAGGAATCGGGACCTGCCACGCGCGAAGCCTTTTGCCCAACGTCTCAGGAAAAGAAGCAGGAAAAGCGGCAGCTCGAAGTGTGCGCGCAAAGATGCGTTGCGGGCGCGGGCGGCGGGCCTCCTGGATGGCTAGTTTGGCGCGTTCACGCGCTGCGCCAAACGCCGCGCGCCAACCTGGACCGTCGGGAAAAAAGGGGGGCGGAAGCCTCGCCCGCTCCATACTTTGTGCGATTGAGAAAGGGCGCTTCCAGCAGGGCGCTGAGTCGTCCTGCAATGAAGCGCGCTATCGTAGCATTGTTTTGGGCATCTTGTTCCAAGCTGCGCAGTGCATTCTGCCACGCATGATTCATAATACGAAAACAGGCGCGCCAGCTGCTAGCCCATCCAAGCAAAGAGACAGAGGGCGGGGCCATAGCGAATACAGGTGGGAGAGCGCTCGGACCAGCAAGACAGAGGCTGTTCGGCGGCAGCCTGAGCAGCTCGTGCAAAGCCTGATGTTCGAGTTCGCGAATCATAGCACGGATGGGGAACAATTGGACGAGGCGCGAGAGGGTCGAGAGAGCGGTGGCGTTGTACAGAATTGAAAGAACCGAAGGACCAGCTCCAGAGCATGGCAGAGCAATCGCCATCGACCACCACTTCTCTGCTGCGTTAGCCCAGATCATATTAAGTGTGACTGCAGGGCCCAGTTCGACCCCTAGGTAGACTGCGTGGCCAGCGATCTGAAAATTGGCCCGCTGCGGGATCAACCAACACAGCTCGCTTCGGGCCCTGGCCTGGACCGCGCCCGTGCACTCGGCCCACAGCGGGGCCCGCGCACATTTGGCCCCTGGGAGCCTGAGAAAGGCAAAACGCTCAACATCCAGGAAAACACGGGAAACACCAACCAGGTCTCGAAGGCGAGGCATCACCATTCCGACATCGTCAGCACAACCCCCAAGAGAGCCCTTGCGGCGCCTCGCCTGCGGGAGCAGCGCGGCCGCGCGCAGGCATCTCACGACGGGGCCCATTGCAAGAGCCCGGAGAGAGCCGGGCAAGGGGCACCCCCGCAGGACCCCCGAGCATAGATGAAACAGGAAAACGATTCGATTTTGAATATTCACAAAGCCTCTGGGTAAAAAGTATGACGCGTGGATAAAATTCGGGAAACCTGGTGGGGGCCCTATCCTACCCAGACTCTCGAACAACCGCTGGTGGCCCAGAGACGGGAACGCCGCCTCCGCATCGCAGGCAGCGAAGATCGGGAGGGCCCCCCCAGCTTCGGGGGCGACATTGACATTGCGGGCTCCGGCGCCCAACGCGATGATGCTGGACAAGAAATTACGTCCTGGGATGAATCCCTGCAGAGCCTCATGGGCACGGTCTTGGGCAACCTGTCGGATCTGGAAGTTGGCGGCGGATGCCGCGATCCTAGCGCCCGCGCTTCCAGGGCTAAGCGGCCGAACCTTCCCCGGAGACCTCGCGCACCCCTGGGCGTCTTCGGGCTCCGAAGGTTTGGGAAGAAAAGCAACGAGGTCATCGTTGAGCCCCAGGGAAACTGCGTCATACTTCTATGAAGGACTGGAACTTGCCCTGGTCGATCTTTCCATGCTGCGCACGAAAGATGATCAGGGCCAGGGGCTGATCGTCGAGCAAGTTTGACGGCGCGCCCTAGTTCGGGCTCAGCTGGAAGTCTAAGAGCCAAGAGGTCTTGCTGAGGGGCAGCTTTGCCGAGGCAATCCTGAGGGGCCTTCCCCCGAATTGACCCGGCGCCGAAGATGGGTTTCCAATGGGGGGGGGTCAGGGCGGGCGCGATCTGCTCAGGATCCCCGGCGACAGCTGGGAACTCTTGCAGGCTTTCAGCTCTGCCCCCTGCGAGAACGAGACGATGAGCTTTGGGGGCCCAAAGAGTAGCGCACCTCTCGTGCATCCTTGCAGCTCGTCTCTCATCCTCGACCACCGCCCCCCCCCCTTTGTGGACGCCCTGTTTTCAATAAGTCTGGCCTCCATCTGTCCGAACTCGTAGTTGGCGGCGTGCATGGCGAGGACGAACTCCTGCTTGTCGAGGAGCTCTACGCTGCCGTTGGACGCGCGGGGGAAGCGCGCGCCGTCGGCGGTGGCGGCCTTCAGCTTCTGAGCCGCGTAGATGTCGTCGCGCCAGATACATCTTGCCATTGCCCTCAGTGCGATGATACGCCCTCCCTTGGCACGGGAGTCTTTGGCCGAGATCGGAAGACGCTGAAGTTCGTCGCGAACCTGGCGAGCAGCCTCGGTCATGAAGTCTTTCAGGCATCGCCGCTGATGCACAACTGGAAATCGATCAAGTTGAGCCGCGCCGATTCGTTGCCCCAAGACCTCTCCGTAACGAGGGTCACGAAAGACATGCTCAGGAATACTGGTCTGTTGGTCATGCCGAGCGCGGTCGCAAAGGTGAAGAACGACCGGCGTGTGGTCGCTGAGCCTGGAGTCAGAGATGGCGGCCGCGTCAATGTCAACCTCCGCCAAGACTTCGACATCTAGGAGAAAGTGAGCTGGAGTTCCGATTAAGATACGATCCAATGTGGCTGCGGTGGCCGTGTCTCTGCAATAGTGCGTGGGGCAATCTGTCGAGATTCCAGTGAGCATAGAGAAAAGACGTTCCCAGTATGCTTGCAGAGGCTGAGATCTACAACCACGTTGTGCAGGAACAGAGCCAGGGATGAAACCCTCCGTGATGGGGTCCACGTAGCTGCGGGTCGCGCCCGACGTGATATTGAAGTCACCAGGAGCCAGAAATGCTCTCGCAGTGGGGTCTTGCAGGTTCCAATCGGCAAGTTCCCTCCATGTTGCCCGTATATTGTCCTGCAATCGGTTATCCAGCTCGAAGTTGTGAACGCTCACGAGATTCATGGCGATGTTGTCCTCATCATTTGTGATGGTGAGGAGGGCAACACTGCCAGGAGCTAACATCTGAATTTGAAATCGAACATGTGGGTCATCTTGGTCTCTAACATCCATTGGAACCAGAAATGCAGTACCACCAGCCTTCTGTGAGAGAGGTTTGAAGAATATCTTGGAAGCGTACGGGTATGTCGCCAGTGCAGCGGTCAGCTTGTCCAGCGTCTCTCGGAATTCTTGAAGTAGAATCACCGCTCCCTTTTGCATGAACGAGGCAAGCTTGTTAAGTGTGGCTTTCCGGCGATGAAGCTTGTAACAAAGCAGGCTTCTGGCTTTCCAGGAAATGATCGTCCCAAGGGAGGATGAATAATAATTATCCCAGGGCGACCCTACCTAGGAGTTGGAGCCCCGAGGAGAGCAAGATTAGTAGTGACGGTAGACGCCGTCCTCCTCTTTCTCCTCATCGTCGCAGTTGTAGCAGTAGCGGTAGTAGTAGTAGTAGTAGTAGTAGTACTACTACTACTCCTACTACTACGACTACTACTACTACTACTACCACTACTACTACTACTACTACTACTACTACTACTACTACTACTACTACTACGACTACTACTAGTAGCATTAGTTGTAGTAGTAGTAGTAGTAGCAGCAGTAGCAGTAACAGTAGCAGTAGCAGTAGTAGTAGTAGTAGTAGTAGTAGTAGTAGTAGTAGTAGTGGTAGTAGTAACAGTACAGCTTCATACCTACATCTACATCTAGACCGACATCCACATCTACACCTACAGCTACATCGACATGCATCTACACCTACAGCTACATCTAGGGTTGCGGTTGCTGTGCGTTGCTTTGCGTTGCGTGTGCGTTGCTGTCATGTTGCTGCTGTTGCTTTGCCGTTGCTTTGATGCTATGCTATGATATGCTATGCTATGATATGCTGCGCTATGCTGCGATATGCGGCGTTGTGCTATGCTATGCTATGCTATGCTAGGGTACGCTAGGCTGCGCTATAGTATGCTAGGCTATGCTATGATATGCGATGCTGCGCTAAGCTATGCTATGTCATGATATGGTATGATGCGGTATGTTATGCTATGATATGCTGCGCTATGATATGCTATGCTAGGCTATGGTATGATATGATATGATGTGCTATGTTATGTTATGCTATGCTATGGTATGTTATGCTGCGCTATGATATGATATGGTTTGCTATGCTATGGTATGCTAAGCTGCGCTGCGTTGCGCTATGGTATGATGTGATGCGCTATGTTATTTTATGATGTGCTATGATATAGTATGTTATGTTATTATATGTTATGATGTATTGCGGTGGACTGTGTTAAGCTATGATATGCTATGATATGTTATGATGCGCTATGCTATGCTATGCTATGGTATACTGCGCTATGATATGCTGCGCTATGATATGCTATGATATGATATGCTATGCGATGTTATGATCTGATATGGTATGCTAATGCTGCGCTGCGCTAAGTTAAGCTAAGCTGAGATGAACTAAGCAAAGCTAAGCTAAGCTAAGCTAGGCTAGGCTAGGCTAAGCTAAGCTAAGCTAAGCTAGGCTAGGCTAGGCTAAGCTAAGCTCAGCTAAGCTAAGCTAAGCTAAGATAGGCTAAGATAAGATGAGATAAGCAAAGCTAAGCTAAGGAGACGTAACTGGGGGAACCGCGGGGCGGATACTGGGGGAACCGCCCAGGGCGATTTCCACTGCCCAGCCCCTTTAAGCACACCGGGTAAGAACCCTTCTAGGCAGAGCCTAGGTAGGGAACAGAGGAGGAGGAGGAGGAGGAGGAGGGGGAACAGGAGGAGAAGGATGAGGAGGATGGGGGACGGAGCAGGACGGGAAGGCAGGGGAGGGGAGGAGGAGGCGGCACCGTCGATCTGGAGCATCGCGCGCGCCCCGCTCCATGCCGGGGGTGCGGCGCTCGACATCGAGCAAAGGCTCGACAGTGAGTGCGCGCCGCGCCAGCAGGGGCAGAGACTCTCCCGAGCCAGAGCGGCAACGGATGACGGTGGTCGATGGCGACGCCGATGGCTGCGGCGCTGAAGCGATGATGACAGCGGCATGGTGTCACGCCACGGTGTCGGCACCACGGCTCCATCGCCGAGCTAGGGTGTCAAGGAGGGGGGCTCAAGGAGGGCCAGGTGGAACTGGGAGAACTGGGGATGTCCACTGCCAGGGGCGGCCCACAGATCTCGCGAGTCACAATGCGTGCAATCGGCTATACATAAGCCTGCTTGGGCGCTCGCTCGCTACGAGTCGTGCTTTGCAACCTGCTTTGCTCCTCCTCCTCCTCGCTCTTCCTCCATCGCTCTATTCATACCTCCCTCACTGCCTCCTCTCTTCCTACTCCTCCTCCTCCTCGTACTCCTCCTCATCCTCCTCCTTTTCCTCCTCCTCATCCTCCTCCTCCTCCCCCTTCTTCTCCTCCCTCTCCTCTTCGTATTCTTCGTATTATTAATAGTGTGGTTATTGTTATTGTTATTCTTATGTTTCTTCGCATTAGTTTTCTTCGTCTTCTATGAATACGGTCATGATTAATAGTATGCGTGTTAACAGTGATATGACCATTATCCATATTAGTAGTATTAGCGTTAGTTTTGTATACTGTTTCTTCTTCATAGTGTTAGTGTTATCACTCGCGTTACTCATCATATTATTAGTCGTAAAATGTGCGATTCGTCGCACTAGTATTAGTATTAGTGTTAGTATTAGTGTCAATATCAGTAATCGTATTAGTGATAATAGTCGTACCAGTTGTAGTATTAGTATGAGTAGTAGTAGTAGTAGTAGTATTAGTATTAGTATTAGTATTAGTATTCGAATTGGTATTAGTATTCGTATTAGTATGAGTCTTAGTATTAGTAACAGTATGAGTAGTGATAGTATGACTAGTGTTAGTGTTAGTATTAGTATTCGTATTAGTATTAGTATGAGTATGAGTATTCGTATTAGTTTCAATAGTAGTAGTAGTAATATTATTAGTACTATTATGAGTATGGGTATGGGTATGAGTATGAGTATGAATATTAATAGTTGTATGTGTATTGGTATTACTTTGTGTATTAGCACTGGCATTAGCATTAGCATGGGTAGTAGTGTTAGTATTCGCAACATTAATGTTATTAAGTATAAGTATTTGTAGTATTGATAGCATTAGTATTAGCATTCGCATTCGCATTAGTAGTAGTACTGGTATTCGTATGAGTGTGAGTCTTAGTCTTAGCAGTAGTATTAGTATTAATATTAGTATTAGTATTAGTATTCGTATTCGTAATAATATTCGTAGCAGTGGTAGTAGTAGTAGTAGTATCCGTAGTAGTATGAGTATTAGTATTAGTATTCGTATTAGTATTAGTATTAGTATTAGTATTAATATTAGTATTAGTATTAGTAGTAGCATTAGTATTAGTATTAATATTAGTATTAGTATTAGTACTAGTATTAACAGTAATATTAGTATTAGTATTAGTATTAGTATTAGTGCTACTACTAGTATTAGTAGTAGTAGTAGTAGTAGTAGTGGTAATAGTAGTCGCAGTAGTATTAGTATTCGCATTCACATTCGCATTCGTATTAGTATTAGTAGTAGTTTTGGTGTAAATAGTAGTAGTAGTAGTAGTATTAGTATTGGTGGCAATGACATTATGCGAATTAGTTCTTCTTGGTAGTATCAGTAACATTGCTAGTAGTAACATTCGTGTTCTTATTGGTATGTTTCTTATGCTAATATGGCTAGTAGTAGTACTAGTATTCCTCCTCCACTTCCTCCTCCTCATCCTCCTCGTCCTCCGCCTCCTCCTCCTCCTCCGCCTCCTCCTCCTCCGTCTCCTGCCCCTCCTCCTGTTCTCTCTCCTCCTCCTCCTCTTCCTCCTTCTCCTCCTCCTCATCATCATCCGCCGCCTACTCCTCCTCCTCCTACTCCTCCTCCTCCGCCTCCTCCTCCTCCGCCTCCTCCTCCTCACTCCATTCCTTCTCCGTCTAAATAACTAATCCGAGTCGCACCCCAAGGCTAGTTTTTAGGACGGGCCTAGCGGTTTGCCTGAGACGTCCGCACCATGTGTTGCTCTGAAATTTAAAACAGTGACAACAGTTTCACAGATGGAGGGCGGGTGGTTTTCAACATGTGGCTCGCACATTCTTTTTACAAGACCTGCCAGGGCTTCACGGATTGAGGGCGGGTGGCTTTCAAAATGTGGCTCTTGCCTCAGCGCCGCGCACATTCGTTTCAATGCAGGGGCTTCACGGATTGAGGGCGGGTGGTTTTCATAATGTGGCTCTCGCCTTAGCGCCGCGCACACCCGTTCTAACAAATTGCAAGAATGTTACGAAGTGAATTCGAGTCGTTTTCAAAAGTGTGTCACTCGCCTTGGAGCCGCGCACATGTGCTTAAAAACATTGCAAGAGCTTCACGGATGGAGGGCGGTCATTTTCAAAATGTGGCTCTCGCCTCAGCGCCGCGCATTTTCGTCTTCACATTTTGCAAGAGCTTCACGGATTGAAGGCGGGTCGCTTTCAACATGTGGCCCTCGCCTTAGCGCCGCGCACACTCGTTCTAAGAATTTGCAAGAGTTTCACGGGTTCCCATGAGCAATGTACCAAACATGGCATTTTGGACAATTCTGGATCATGTGGGTGCAACAGTTATGTTGGTTCGCGGTGTTGAACTCCCTCAGATGGCCTTATGGCACGATTCCGAATCGTCAAAATCGCAGTAGTCAGATTGGCACGTGGCGTTGAAATCTCAAGAACCATGCCTTGGCATGCTTCAGGATCTTCAAGCGGTTGTCTTCCAAAGAGGCAGTTCCCTCAGTGGAAATGAACCGCTGTAGGGGCCTATGCAGAGGGATTTTGGAGGGAGGGTTCATCCCAACATCGTTCACGACTCTTGGGTTCACACTGATCCTCCTCCTCCTCGTCCTCCTCCATTCCTTCTCCTTATAGATAACTCCTCCCTGTAGCACCCCGATGCAAATTTTGAGGGGCGGGCCGGGCGTTTCGCCTGAGACTTCCCGACCACTTATGAATTTAAAGCTGCGGAATTGATAACAGCGTCACAGATGGAGGGCGGGTCGTTTTTACATGTGGCTCTCGCCTTAGCGCCGCGCACACTCGTTCAAAACAAAATTGCACGGATTGAGAAGGCTCCTTTTCAAAATGTGGCTCTCGCCTTAGCGCCGCGCACATTCGTCTTAAAGCTGTGCAAGAGTTTTACGGGTTGAAAGCGGCTCCTTTTCAAAATGTGGCTCTCGCCTTAGCGCCGCGCACATCCGTTAAACAAACTTGCAAGGGCTTCACGGATTCAAGGCGGGTGGTTTTCAAAATGTGGCTCTCGCCTTAGCGCCGCGCACATTCGTCTCAAAGATGTGCAAGAATTTTACGGATTGAGGGCGGCTCCTTTTCAAAATGTGGCTCTCGCCTCAGCGCCGCGCACATTCGTTAAACAACTTTGCAAGAGTTTCACGGATTCCCATGATCAGTGTACCAGAAATGGTGTGTTGGAAGGGTTCTGGATTATGCGGGCGCAACAGATATGTTGATTCGCGGTGTTGAAATCCAAAAAATAGCATCCTGGCACGATTCTGGATCGTCAAGCCGCAGCAGTCAGGTTGATACGTGGCGTTGAGATCCCGAGAACAATGTTTTGGCAAGCTTCAGGATCTTCAAACGGTTGTCTTCCAACGAGGCAGTTCCCTCAATGGAAATGACCGTTGGAGGAGCCTTCGAAAATGGAGTTCGGAGGGAGGGTTCATTCCAACATCGTTGGCGACTCGTTGGTTTCCACTGGTCTTCCTCCTCCTCCTCTTCCTCCACCTCCTCCTCCTCCTCCACCTCCTCCTCCTCCTCATCCTCATCCTCCCCCTCCCCCTCCTTCCCTCCTCCTCCTCCTCCTCCTCCTCCTCCTCCTCCTCCTCATCATCATCATCATCATCATCATCATCATCATCACATCCTCATCTCCCTCCTCCTCCTCCTCCTCCTTTCGCTCGGGCCGCTGCTGCTGCCAATCGTGTTGTTGTTTCTCGTGTTCCTTCGCTACCATACTATCATGTTGTTCCTGGTCCCCCAGCCCCATCACTTCCCTTCGATCCCCTACCCATCCCCTTCCTCCTCCTCCTCCTCCTCCTCCTCCTCCTCCTCCTCCTCCTCCTCCTCCTCCTCTTTTTCATATTCCTCCTCTTCCTCCTCCTCTTACTCCTCCTCATCATCATAATCATTATCCTGAAAACGTGAAGAAAAATCGATCACAAACTACGAACAAATCCTCTGACCACCAGAGCGCACTTCAGGATACTACAGTCAACCCGCATAGCAAGGATGCGCGTTAAGGATACAAAGGCCTTGGACGCCAATTCCGGAGCTTCTCGACCGGGGCGCGGCCAACGAACGTGGCCAAGCATGGACCTAGGAGGCAAGGATGCAAGGGTACCCCTGAGAAGGTTGCCCATCCTCACCATGCGGGCTGACTGTGGAGCAACTTCACGATGCTGGAGCCCCGGCCAGCGCCCCTGGCCAGCCAGCGGGCCTGCGCTTCAGCCGGGGCGGCGCGCTCCGCCTGCGCCAGCTCCTTGCCCGACGCGCCGCGCAGCTGGCGAGCGGTAGGCGGCGTGGAGTGCCACGCCCAGCTGAGCGCCCCAGCGCTGCGCCAAGGCGCTCGCCACCGCCGCGGCGCGCTCCTCGCCCTCGCGTTTCGCGAGGTCGCGCGCCAGCTCCCAGAGGTGGCGCAGCGCCGCGCGGCCGTGCCGCCCTCCAGTCCCCATCGCGAGCGGCAGCATCGGCCACGAACAGCGGCCCTCCGGGTAGCGGCGCCGATTGTCCGCCTCGGCGGCCACATGGACGGCGCCGTCGCGCACAGCCGCCACGGCCAGCCCCTCCCCCTCCTCCTCCTCCTCCTCATCATCCTCCTCCTCCTCCTCGTCCTCCCCCTCCCCCCCCCTCCCCCTCCCCCTCCCCCTCCCCCCTCCCCCTCCCCTCCTCCTCCTCCTCCTCCTCCTCCTCCTCCTCCTCCTCTCCTCCTCCTCCTCCTCCTCCTCCTCCTCCTCCTCCTCCTCCCTCCTCCTCCTCCTTCCTCCTCCTCCTCCTCCTCCCCCATCTTTTTCATCTTCCTCCTCCTCCTCGTTTTCATCCTCCTCCCCTCCTCCTCCTCCTCCTCCTCCTCCTCCTCCTCCTCCTCCTCCTCCTCCTCCTCCTCCTCCTCCTCCTCCTCCTCCTCCTCCCCCCC